TTGCAGCTCAATTAAAATCAAACCCTAAAAATCCTGTTTTCGACCAAGTATTCAACCCCAAATACCAAAACATATTTACGCAAAACCAAAAACTTCTGCCAACATTTGATATCCGAATTTCAAATTTCCTGCAAGAACTCAACATACAGTTGACGGACATAGCTGAATTTATCATATCTGATGTTACTCCGTGGACCATTCAAACCCCTGATTTTAACCTTACATTACATGAGCGAGGGAATACGTAACAAAACAAGGCATTATATAATACGTAATAAAACAAGGCATTATATAATACGTAATAAAACAAGGCATTATATAATAGGTAATAAAACAAGCCATTATATAATAAGTAACAAAACATGGCATTATATAATACGTAATAAAACAAGGCATTATATAATACATAATAATACAAGGCATTATATAATACGTAATAAAACAAGGCATTATATAAAACGTAATAAGNTCCTATCAGTCATACTGTTTGGTCTTAAAATCAATGATATAGTCAATGTCTTGGTCAAGCAACAGAAGGGTCGTTATTTGTGGATGACTTCTTGATCTGTTACAGATCTAAGAACATGCACACGATAGAACGACAACTTTAAACAACCTACAAAATTGGGCAGACGAAAACGGCTTCAAATTCTCTAAATCCAAAACTGTGTGCATGCATTTCTGTCAAAAACGAAAAGCACACAATGACCCAAATCTAACACTCGATGGCACTAGAATTCCTGTTTTTGAACAGACTAATNACAAGGCATTATATAATAAGTAACAAAACAAGGCATTATATAATACATGTACGTAATAAAACAAGACATTATATAATAGGTAATTAAACAAGGCATATAGTACGTAATAAAACAAGGCATTATATAATACGTAACAAAACAAGGCATTATATAATACGTATATTTTTCCCTAACCACTCATTTAGACTGCTGGTAAATTCCTCTAAACAACGACGATGATTCATTTATCATATATGGCGGTTTATTAGCGACTTTTCGTTTTTCGCTGAAAGATTAAATAACTATTATCTTCTGTAAGTTTCCATGAAGAAACTACAACAATGAGCAATCTCATAGGTTTTGGTAAACACAGATATCACGCAAACTCGATTAATAGTTCATCTGGATGTACATTAAAACTGATAATGTATGCATACTATTACCATTACAACAAGCTAAACATGCCCGAGGGGGCATACGTCAGTCCGCACGACACAGTCATTGAAATGTTCATTGACAGAATAACACACAGGACAACTCCGTACTTGCAGTGAAAGTGAAGTGTAGGAAGTTGTTTAATGTCTTTAACACATGGGTTTTGTTCCATTACATTGGTAAACATTATATTGTTGGAGGGAGGGTGAAGACAATTACGATCAGACAGGTATGCTTCGTGTTCATTAATATCTGTCAGCAAGTATATTCATATATATATGCGTACATATTATGTACATCATAGTCATCGTCTTCATAACGCAGACAACCATACAAACATGTACATTATACCTGTATGCCTAGGGTCCTATATATAACGAACATACTCCACCAAATCATTTAACAAATGTCATTTCATGTAGCATCCACGATGAAACTAATTAAATATGTATATTAGATTGTAGAATGGCGACACAGAAATACTACTGTACAATTGAATGAGGATTACAGCATGCATGATGGCACACACATGTTACTGTACAAAAACAGGTTGATTATAGAATAATGGCGCACAGATATATTATATATATTACATAATCTCTACGTGTAGAGTGTGGAATGTTGGAAGAACAAACCAAATGTAAGATTTCTCTTGGTAATGCGAAGTGTCATGTCCTCTATAATCTCAGCGATGAATCATTACAACAGCTGTGGTCACTAGTGACTACTAAATTCTGACTT